AAATAATGCGATTTTGGAATATTCACTCGGTATTCTATAAGTTCGACCGGCAAAACACGTGCGTTTGAGAGTGACACGCGAGCCAGCCAGTTAATGGGCACTTGGAATGTACGTGCGATGGCTTGAAATTCCGTTGGCAAGCAAGTGACTTTATACAGCAGCGAATTAATTGAATAGTGTGTGCAAACACTCGAAGTGCTTACAAAATATAAACACGTGTATAGCTCTTTACTTACCATGTAATATGAACTGGAGATGGAGAGATTTCGGCACGGAGAATATATAAAGAGTGTCTTCTGTGATAAGCGATATGTTTGACATGGGATTCTATACAAAAACAATCGACACACACGGCGGTGTTAAGAAACGAACACGGGCTTTATACATGAATATTATATGTTGAAGGGGACGAGCGCGAACGCAGGTCCCCACTACCAGAAATTATACGCTCGAGTTACCCACATTAGGGGTAATCGCAGGAGTCAACCCAGTCGAAGTGCAATGAAAGGGCCTCATCCTGAGAGGACCTCCTAGTTGATCAAGGTGCCTCTCGCGTCAGGTAAGTATGCTGTTGTTTGCGCCGCTCACCTTATATACGCGATGATGATGACACGCGATTGTGGTACTTCGGGGGTTTCCCTCTTGTCTTGAACATCATGTGCCGCGATCTAGAGAATGAAAAAGTATGTTAGTTAAAATTAGATGTAGTTGATTCGGTTCATAGCTGAACGAAAACACGCTCACAAGGCCGGTGTGAAATATCGGCATAGGATAAATAATAAAGTGTTACAAGTCATATGATATGTATGTTATATATGCATGAGAAAGCCATGATATATTATTTCACGTGGTATTCGAATATAAATCGATCGGCATGTGAAAAGTACTCAAGTGTGTGTAATCGTCTAATAAAGTAGAGATTGCTTTATAGTTTGATTTGAAATAAAAACAATGTTCTTCCCCGAGTGGGGAAGGGGCCGTACTCGGATGTAGTGCAATACCGAGACAACCCGTGGCCAGGGCGAAGCAAGCTTCAATCCCATGGCCGAAGTCCAAAAATCAGTTTAATATATGAGTTAGGCATTGCCTAACATATCAGATATTAAGCTGATAAGAACAGAAATTTTTTATTAAGGTATAGAAATTATTTACATTGATTGGCTTAGCTGATTGGAAAACTATAGAGTATTACATCGATTGGCATTACTGGCAACCCTTTTAAACTCCAGACACTGGACTAGGTGCTGGTTAGTTTGACGTTGCATTTAGAGTTATTTACAAATATATATATTTTAAAGTTCACGATAGCGTTCGGTGTTAACCATTAATATACTATATAGTCACTGTGGAACACCAGTGAGGTGTTGCACATAAATGTTTCTTGACACACGAATTGCGTCAGCACAACAAAGTTTCCTAAATAGAGTTCTATAACGACTGTTAATTTGAAGTTCATTTAAAACGTTCTCATTTCCATTAAACCAGGCACCAAGAGAACCTACTACGAACCCAAACACTTTGGCATCTTGATTGTGTTGTTGGAAGTGATCAATCAGATAGTCATATTTATTCACCTTTCGTTGGGCTGCCATTTCTAGGGAGGAATCATCATTCTCGAACGGGCACGTAACATCGATTATTATAACTTTGTTACCCGATCTAACAACAATGTCAGGGCGATTTAAACCTGGGGCACCTGGAACGACTTGATCAATTGTTACTTCACCAAGGTGTATAGCATTAGTAAGCCGATTTAATATACGATTATGTCTGGCAGTAATAGCCGTCATGTTCGGTTTACAATGACATATTATGTGTGGAAGTGTTTCATTAACGTTTAGGCTGTGACATCTTCTGCAGACAGGACTAGCTTCCGACCAGCGGCTCTTGACATCATTTGTTGGTAAGGTGTTTGTCCTCGCTCGATGGATAAATCTCCAATCACAAAACCGAAGACCAGTACCGTCAAATGACCAATTATTGGTACTAATTAAACGGCATGATTCAAGACATCTGGCCACTTTGCCTTGGTCTTTGAGCGACTTCAATATACTGGCATGTTTTAATTTCATGTGACGGTGGAGAAATGAGGCTACCTTCTTATCACCCTCTGTGGTTGATTCATTCATCGAGATGGAAATTTTTCCCATGGCATCATGGATTAAAACATTTAAGGCTCTACAGGAAATTCTACATCTGGACCAGAGGGTAATACTAGAATTCTGATGATTGGCAAGGGAACCATCTTGTGAACCAGAGAGGAAACCATCAATAACTTTACTGGATGAGATATCTTTGGACTTGACACATCTCTTGACAACTGAGGTAAGCTGGTCACGAGAGATATTAACAATTAAAGGATCAGAAGCTGAGATAATCTTAACCGTATGTACTATTGTTTGCACGTGACGTTCATCGAACGGATCTTGAAAGCCAAGCCCACCAACCGATTTATCTGCAAAAAGGTATGAGTTGGACGCTCTCTTGGGTAAGTGACATATTGATTTTAAAATACCAACTAACTTAGAACGATACTCTTTCAGCGACTCTCGTGATACCGGGCATGATCTAAGAGCGTACGTGAGACCAGGTTGTATGAATGTTCGTATCGCATCCAGTTTTTGCCATGGGGCCAGAAGGGAAACGTGTATTTTTTCTAGGTCGGCTATAAGTCTGTCCGTGATGGATTTCATATCAGACGCATCATATAATAAGCCAATTGGAACACCTAAGTAACGATACGATTCCTCTTTTTTCAAGTACGGAATTTCACCGTTCTGGACAACAAACTGGAATTCAGAAACTCTGGATGGATATTTACTGGAGCACGTCAAGCAAAGAGTGGCACACTTGTCCTGTCGGAACGAGAGATTTAGCACATTCGCAGCCATAGATACTTCAGATAGGAGATCTTGTAGTCCTTCTTTAGTGCGACTAATGATAACCAGGTCATCCGCATATGCCAAGATGGATACTGGATGGTTGTGGATCTTAAAAGGAATGTTGGGATTTTCCTCGCACTTTGAAATGATGCATCTGATAAGCAACTCTGACGTAAGGTTAAATAGGACTGGGCTAATGGGACATCCCTGCTTAACACCAGCATTAATGTTGATAGGTGGAGTTTCTTCATCACGTGACGTTCTGACAACGGTTGTACTGTCTGTGTATATGTCTTTAATTAAATCAATAAATGAATTTGAAAAGCCCATATGACATAGTGTTGTGTATATAGCTTCGTGGTTAATACTACCAAAAGCATTTCTAAGATCAAGCCATGCGATGTAACAGTCTTTCGTGTTCCTTTTGCAATCTGCTATTATGGATTGTAAAGTAAATGTATGCTCGTGGCACCCTTCAGCCGGTCTAGCACTCTTTTGTTGATGCGACATAAGATTATTATTTATTGCAAAATTGGTGGCACGGGAGGCTAAGATAGCAGTGAAAAGTTTATATAAACAAGACATTAAAGCTATGGGACGGAAATTACTGGCGTCATCACTGTTTCCTTTCTTATATATTAGGATCGTGGTGGACTCTTTCCAAATCGATGGTACTTGCTTTTGATTTAAACATTTGTTGAAGATACATGCAAGAACTTTACACTCTGGATCAACCTGTCTAAGGTGGCGATACTCGACGCGATCTTTCCCCGGGGCCGAGTTGGACATACTTTTCAGTTTGTTCTTAATAACCTTTTCACTCATGGGCTCCATAACAGAGGGATCTTCATTAGCAGTTGGAACATGACGGTTTAATGACTCCAATACTTCATCAATGTTAATAGGGTTAGCAGAGAAAGTGTTAGTAAAGTAATCCTTAGCTTGCTCATTCGTACCGGAATAGACCGTGTTGTTGTCGTTTAGTATTTGTCTTGCTGCTCTTTTCTTAGACAATCTATATAGGGTTTGGATTCTTCTCGCAGCGATGGGGTTGGGGAGAACTCTTGGACGGTGGTTGTTAACATTTCTATTATTGGGCCGATTAGGTCTTTGTCTAGGCCGGGATGCATTAATTGGTTTCGTCTTCGCCTCCTCAACTACCGCTTCCGCAAACTTTTCACATTGGAAAGAAAATGCTTCGAAGGAATCGGTTGACTTGATACGACTAGACCAGGAGTTGACGAATTCAGACTGATTGATGCTATTCGAACTAGGGTTAATAGGGATGTCAGTGGGGAGAGGAGGATCATTGTCTATTAATGGATTATCATCGGATTGAATGGTGCTGTTGTTGATATCAAGATAGGGTGTAGATGGAGATGTAGTGGAATTAGGTCTGGAATGTTCTAAGTCATCATCGTCATCATCCTCAGGATCAAGGTCAACCAACTCGACTGGATACAATTTCTTAGTTTGAGGCGTTATGAAGGAAGGAGCTGACGGATTAAGCGTTGAGTTTAAGGGTAATAATTCGGGAGGATTAGTTGATACATGATTAGATGGCTTACTAGGATCACAATCACCGTCACGATCAGTACAACCGCTGAGGGCGACCGAAGGATCAGGGTCTGCATGACTAGATGGGGTGTTACTATTAGCCAATGACATATTTGATGAGGACGTGAGAAACGACTCGGAGAGGGGAGGGGGGATGATAAAAGGGTTCTGGGATGCGGAATCTGGTGAGGATGGAGTGTAGTAGGGATTGTTTGGGTTTGGATTAGAAGGCTGGTTAGGATCACAATCACCATCACGATCAGTACCACCACTGAAGGCGACCGAAGGATCAAGGGAACGATGCTGGGAAAGGTTAGGGGGGGTTGAGGGACTTGACCATGGAGGGGAGGATTGAGAAGGAGTAGAAGGGTTAGGTGAACGAGGGGAAACACAAGATGGAGCATTGCTATTCACAGCAGTACAATCACTTAAGACGACCACTGCTTCAAGATTTGGTAGATGGGAAGGAATGGAGGTGATGGGATAACCATTAGGTCTCGGAGGAGAAGATGGAACGTCATCCTCAACGGGATCAGGGTCAATAAGGACAGGTGTCGGTACTCTCAATGAACAATCAGTAGTGGGAATGCAGGTACTGGGGGGATTGACTCGTGGTGAAGAGGGATTAACTAACTGGGATAGGGTCATGGGTGATTGAGTGGAAGAAATAACACGAATACTAACATCTTGAACATCAGCGTTAGGTAACAATGACGTAATACTAGACTGAACAGGACTGGACAAATTACTTGACATGGATACGGACGCTTCACGCAATAACCCGGCTCTCGATCTACGACTACGCCTGGATGGGGTGATGGCACTATTATTTGCTGTTATTCCATGATCAACATATGACATCACAGGGGTAGGAGACAGGGGGTAGGGATCATCTTTCCCAATATGATGGGTACGTTGGAGATGAACGCCAGCGCCACGGTTATCAGAAAAAGTACGATTACATAATGAACATTTACCGGAGACATTTAGGGAAATTCCTTTGTGCTTACTAAGATAGTGCCGTTTAAAATTCGGGAAAGAACCAATAATATTGTTACATAAACAGCAATGATACGACTTCCCATCGGGAAAAAGTCTGACAATATTGACCGATTTAATATGGTCAGGAACATTGGCGTGATGCATTTTGGAACGATGAATACCCAAATGACCTTGCGTGGTGGTAATAAAACTACAATCCGAACATTTAACAAATGGAGATTGGGAATCTTGGGTTGACATAATAACGAATGACAGTACAAATAAATACAGGAGATCTAACAATTAAACGAGAGAACAGGAAAAGTTACAGACGCAATCGTATATTAACGCCACATGACACACAGCGCTAGACAATAACGATGAACGGGCATTCCCCAAATAATATAAACACTTCGAAAACCGAATACTAATTAACCGGGAATTTTAAAAGTCAAATGACCGTTGGAAACCCGCAAAACAGCTGTAGTTTGAATTCTATAAACAGTATACTCTTGAAACTTGCTGAAGATGTTAACAGCCAGGATGTCTATATATTAGCCAAGTTATATGTGTATATCACAAACTGCACGAAAGTTACAGACGAAATACGAAACTCTGACGGGAAATAAACAATGATACACGGACTTTACGCACTAGACTCCAAACCACTGATATTTCACGAAATAATCAACAAGACAATACAAATACTATATCAAAATGTTCCCACTGGCGAGATAAATTCAAATCCGACGACAATTTCAACAGATAATGAACCATAAACGAGAAACAGACGAACAAGGATCACAATATTAATACAAACTGTTGCGTAATAATTTATTCAAATATAATCCGGACGAAAATTAAAAGCCAGTATAATTCACGAACGACGCACAAATAATAATCCAGACAATGACAATATAACAAGATACAATATCACAATCCACACACCAAATTTGAAACGAATCCGACCAGCAGATGAAAAGTTATATTTGAAAAACCAAATAATGAATTTTACAGCGATAGCAACCGTGGAATCAACCAATAATGATTATAAACAAGCAAATAACTTGAAATAACGAAAACTATCCAACTTGAAAATATAACCACAATGTACACCAGAACTTTATCTTTAACTTAGTATAATAATTTATAAAATTAAACCAAAAATAAGATCAAAATTCTACACTTGATCTTATTTTGAGTTGAACGACGAAGGGCTTATCGACTCCGACGGTGCAATGGAGCCTGGACCCGTGATATCGCCGCACCCAGGGGGTTGCTACACAGCAAGCAAATCAACAGAGAGTACGATCCTCTCCCCCGTGCCATGAGACAACCATGAATGGCCGGAACGATCAGATGCAAGCATCGTCACGTCCAGGGGTCCCTAAACCTATGATGGTGAATGGCTTGGGAAATGATGTTAACTAAACATGATGTCGACATGAACAACCCACTGGTTAACTAAGATCGAAGGAAAATTGAATTCCCATGCAACCCACAAGGACAAAGTCGATGCGAACCATGGGACAAAAATTAAAAGGAAGACAGAAATGACCAAAGAGGAAACAACTGCTCCCTTAAACAAATGACATTAACAAATTACGAACAAAAAATGACCAACAGGACATTCAATCCCACTGAATACAGCAGTGCAACCAATGAAGGCGACCGCAATATCAGGAGAAAACAAAAGTACAATTGCAACTGAAATGACATGAACAAAACAAACAAGAGAGTTTTGAAGACAACAGCAGTACAGCCAATAAGGCGACCCCTGTGCCTCCAAAAAATCACAAGGAAGGAAGACTCAAGTGATGAAATCATGATTGAACCGAATCCAACCCTGATCAGTGATAGAGGCTACAATGCCATTAACCAGCCATTCGTTATCAAATTGTTCAGGTGAGCGACAATGACGCCGATGCATACGCACCAGGAATCGGAAGGTGGACCGAGCTTTCCGCATGGTTTCCGGGACATTTGGAGGAACATGTTCGAAACGATGGCGATTACGAGCCAACCAGATATGATGGCGCAGGATACCCAGCAATGCAGTGAAAACCACGGGAACACGAGAGGTGGCGGTGAAACCAAACAAAATTGCAGCATCATTAAGAACAGCAGTAGGCCTGAACAGACGTAACTGCACCAAGAACCACTCGATGATCTCTGTACCAAATGGACAGATGGTAAACAGGTGAAGTAGAGTCTCGGGCTGACCACAAAAGCACAAAGGGTTGACATTCATTCCAAAACGCACCAGTCGATCAGCAGTTGGAAGGATCCCATGAAACGACAGCCAAGATGTATCTTGAACGGAGCGAACAAAACGCCAAAGACGAAGACTGGACCAGGCTTCTTTCCAGTTGACGGAAATGCCAAGATCACGAAACTTGACCACAGATCGATGTTCGACAAAGCTATAACTGCCAAGAAGGGAATAACTAATCCGAGCAGAAACCTGATCAATAGGAAGAGGATCAAGACCTGGACGAGGAATTATTCAACATTGACCATCCTTTTCACCCTTGAGATCTACCCAAGTACGAACTAAAGAAGCATAGAATGGTGGGAGGCGTTTGATTCGATAGGCAGGGATAGTGTCACGAGCTAGCAAAGAGGCCACATCTTGACTGGGAAAAATTAAAGACACATGAAAATCAAAAAACACTTTCCATGGATGTGGCGCTGAGTCAGCAAAATAGTGACGAATCCAGGCTGTACGGAGAGATGAAACCTTGCGTGAGACTTCCACGACACCCAAACCTCCATCATGCAAAGGCTGAACGACAGACGAACGAGCCATCCACTCCTTCTTTTTGTTCCACACAAAAGGGAAAAGGATCTTATTGATTTTGGCGATCACTACCTTTGGAACATCAAAGACAGTTGCTTGATACCAAAAGAGACTAAGCCCCAGCACATTAGCAATAAGTGCTCGGCCGCGGAACGACAACTGTCGAGATTTCCATAAGGAAAGCTGACTCTCAAACTTAGTAAGCAGAGAATCCCAATCGGGCACCACATCATTGCCAATCCGACACCCAAGTACAGTGATGGATTCACTTGACCAATTTAAGGCGACTGGCATATCCTGCCGATCTTTCCAGGAACCAAGAAGAAGACCATGAGACTTGTTCACGTTCAACTTTGCCCCGGATGCACATTCATATCGTTCAAACAAAGAAATAGGGCCAAAAGAGACTGATCTGACATGACAAAGATACTCGTATCATCAGCATATTGGAACAATTTAGTATGTGAACCATTAGGTAAAAGCAGTCCATCAATATTGGGATCCTGGCGAATGGCACAGGCAATAGTCTCGGCGACTAAAATATAAAGCAAGGGAGACAATGGACAACCCTGTCGAACACCACGAGTAACCGGAAAAAGTTGACTCACATAGTCGTCGACAAGGACCTGAGAAAAAAGGCTCGTATAGAGCAATTGCACCCAGGAACGGAAGGATGGACCAAAGTTCATTGCCTCAAGAACACGAAGCATGAAAGACCAGTCCACACGATCAAATGCCTTTTCTTGATCCAAAGAAACCAATGCCGCACTCATGGCTGAACCATTTGCATAGTCGACAGCATCTTTGATCAACCGAATATTCTCACTTGAGAGGCGACTAGGGACACCACATACTTGTTCGGGCCCAACAACTGAAGAAATAACGGCAACAAGTCGATTTGTAAGAACTTTAGCCAAGATCTTATAATCAGTGCAGAGAAGAGAAATGGGATGCCAATTTTTGGTGTCAAGCTTATCACCTTTCTTATAGAGTAAAGTAATCAAGCCAGTTTGTTGAGAGAAGGAAAGACAGCCCGATGAAAAACAATCATTATAAACGGATATTAAATCAGTACCAAGAACAGGCCAAAAACGTGTATAAAATTCGTATGGCAAACCGTCAACTCCCGGCGATTTATTGTTCTTCATTTGTCGTAAAGCTTTCAAACATTCGTCTTCAGTGATAGCACCCTCACACAGGGCGGATTCAGTATGGGAAAGTGAACGCTCCAAGGAACCAAGAAAAAAGGCTTGGTCACCAGGGACAAGAATAGCCGCCGTAAATAATTGTACATAGAACAAACACCAAACCCGGATAATAGCGGATATGGAATGGACAACCAGTCCTTGAGCATTTTTGATGCCAGAAAAAAGCCGTTTGATGGCTCGAGATTTTTCTTGGCGAAAAAAGTAGGATGAAGAGGTCTCACCTTCCTCGGCCCATTGTTCGCGGGAACGAATGCGGGCACCATTAGCAACATGGAGGTGTTCCAATTCCAAATCAGTCTTAGCTTCGTTTAACCAAGCAGAAACATCCTCACCATTTTGCTGTCGATGATGAAGGTGGAACAAAGTATTCTCAAGGGACTTAATACGAGCCCGACGAGCACGAGCCAGCTGTTGAGAATAACGACGTGTAAGAGCACGAATGCGCTTTTTACCAGCATCCCACCAAACTGCTAAGGAAGGAAAAGTGCCTTGCTCAAGTTGCCAAGCTTGCCAAAACTCTTGGATCTTCTGTTTATAATTATCATCCTTAAGCAAAGATGCATTAAGTTTCCACACACCAGGACCGCGCCGTGGCAATGATGGAAGAGTCAATTGGAGAAAAACGTATGAATGATCCGAACGAAAGAAAGGGTAAATGGAAACATCAATAACATGTGACAGTAAAGAGGATGACACCCAGAACATATCTAAACGAGATGCCTGCAATCCATTGGCCCGATGCCAAGTATAACTGCGAGTATTTGGGTTACGTAAACGCCAAATATCATGAAGATCGAGTTCATGTGTAAAATCTTGCAAAGAGCGAGGCCAATTATATGCCCAAGGAGATGTCGGATTACAACCAAAGCGATCAATGGCAGGGTCAACAACGGTATTAAAATCTCCACAAACAATCGTAGGGAGTGAAGCATCGACTTGGGAACCAATCGATTCAAAAAAAACCTCACCATCTGGTTTACGGTTTGGTCCATAGACATTGACTAATTGAAAGGATGAAGAAGCTGTACCACAAACAGAAAATTTAATGACTTGAAGACGTCCAATATCATCAAAAATCTCGGCATCCACAGACAAAGAAGGTTTATATAAAACAGCTATGCCACGACTGCATAGAGAACCAGGAGAAGATAGAACAGAGTAATGTTGCAAGTTGTTAGCAGCATCAGACTCCAAGGAGACCCAGGTAACAAACTCATCACGAGAGATGGAATGAGTTTCCTGCAAGCACACAACATCAGCCTTAACACAATTCAACCAGGAAAACAAAGCGTTCCGCTTAGCCTGGTCACGGAGACCTTGACAGTTTAATGTAAGGATAGATAATTGATTAAAATTGATTGTAGTATTCGCCATAGTGTATTTTAATGTAGACATAGTAAATTTGTAACAATAGATATTTTTAACTTGTAGAAAAAGGCTTAAGCCGATTCCACAGATTCACCATGGGTCTGAGAATCAGAACCCAGTGTGGCGAAAAAACGAGTAGCAACTCGGGTTTCTTCAGAGGCCTGTGAATCCTCTGGTGCAGAAATAGTTTGCCGACCTGGAAGAACACCAGGAAGGTTTGGAGTAAACTGCATTAAAAGGGAATCCATATTCTCATTATCCAATTCAAGATTAGTATCTTCAGGAAGAGGGACATTTTCGGGCGCAACCCCCAATGCCAAATCAGAGTCAAATGAGAGGTCCTCAGACGCACTACCAGAACTCTCATCCGGGTCACTGCCACTTGCAGAACAAGTACCCCAAGGCGATTTGTCACGGCGACAATCTTTCTTTGACCTAGGGGAAGACGATTTCTTAGTCGGAGATCGACGACGTTTGCCACCAACAATGGAAGCATAAGAAGGTGGATCAACAGGTGCAGACTCCATTTCCACCAGAACAGAAGTCTGAGGAGCAACAGTGGATTCCAGGACTTGCCCAGTGACAGAAGGGACAGACACAGAAGGCGCAGCAACATCTGCGGCGACGGGAGGAGGAGGAACAACGATAGGTGGAACATCAACTTGATCCGGCACAACTGGAGGAGGATCAGCAATGCCCTCCTGTTCCACAACATCATTGGCCAATTGACCAAGGACAACTGCAACCACCCGATCTGGACAATTTCCACGCATGTGGCCTTCCTTACCACATTGAAAGCAGACTTTTTTCTGGCCTTTGTAATGCACAAAGCACCAATTTCCAGCAATAAGAATACGTGCAGGAATAGCCTGATTGACCTCCATCAGAACATTCCTCACACCAGTATAAATGTTAGAGTACTGTTCGCTCTTAATTAGTTTAATACGACCATATGGCTCTAGGACCCGGGAAATTTCCACCTCAGGAATACCATAGGAAAGGCGAGTAATATTGACCCATTTAAAAGATGATACGGGCCGAAATTCAACCGGCGAACTAAGAAGCCCATATTTTCAGCAACTTCTAACTTGCGAGCGCTTTTGCAGGTAAGCCGAAAGCGCCCTGGTGCCATCAAAACGACAGCCTCAAACAGTTCAGAAAAATTGTCACATTGACTGCGCAATTCATCAATAACTTGGCGCACATTGATGGCTTTTGCCTCGACATGGTCTGACAGGATAACATCCGAGGTCCGATTCACAAAAGGAATCATATTGATCGAAGTGTGTGATTAAAATAGTAAACAGGGGAAAAAAAACCAGCAAAGAGGGAACCACCCCCAACCAGCTGGCACACGGAATAACCGCAACCAACAGAACCAGGCTATTGGGTTTTGGCCCCCAAGCACCGCCGCCCAAACTAACCGGACAATGGCAAAGAAAAGTCAAGACCCCTCCTTTGAGTGACCCCCTAAAGGGCTCCTCGACAGGAACGAACCGACACACACAAAACTATATACAAGTTATATATACTGCACAAAGAAGCCAAGGCTTGTGGTGAACACACAGAAAAACAAGGGAATAAACTCACGCACAGGGATCAACTGACCAAGGACCACCAGCCAAGAAAACCAGCCAGGGGACGTCAGCGACCACAAGGAAGCCAGAAAACCAACAGAGGCCAATGGACCACAGGATGGAAAACAGACCAACACCAAGGACCACAGGATGGAGAACAGCCACAGGATGTCAGCAATCACCAGAGATTTCAGCAGCAAAAATGAACACCAAGATTCACCAGACTACGGATAACCACAATCAATGGCACGAGCTCTTCTCTATTAGCCAAAAGGCCGAGAAGCGATGCCTTCTTCGCCGTTTGCCACACATATTTCTACCGAACACTTGTGCTACGAAAACGCGGTGAGAAGGAGCTCGCTTGCGAGCGATTATGACGTCGACAAGCGCTTGATTACTCGTCGCACGAGCACGGCAAGTCCGTGGTGATCGCCCACCGCGACCCTGGCGGTGCTCTCGCGCACGCGCGTGCCGTCGTGGAGAGGGGCACGGCGGCCGTGTGGCATCAACCATGAGACGAGAGTTGCGAACATATCAGCTTTCGCGCCCTTTAAACATTCATGAATGCGTCAAGCTTCTTTCACTCGCGAATTGCATTGTGACCCGGAAATGTTTGGGGTCACGCGCCGTGAAATAATGCGATGTTTGAATGTTTACTTGGTATTTTGTAAGTTTGACCGGCAAAACATGTGCGCTTGAGTGACACACAAGCCAGTTAATCAGCACTTGGAATGTATGTGCGATGGCTTGAAATTCCGTTGGCAAGCAAGTGACTTTATACAGCAAATTAATTGAATAGTGTGTGCAAAGAATCGAAGTGCTTACAAAATATAAGCGTGTATAGGTTTACTTACCATATAATAGGAACACGAGATGGAGATTTCGGCCCGGAAAATATATATAGAGTGTATTGTGTGATAAATGATACGTTTGACATCTGATTCTATAATACAAAAACAATCGACACACGGCCGTGTTAGAAAAAAACACGGCTTTATACATTTATACATGAATATTATATGTTGAAGGGGACAAGCGTGAACGCAGGTCCCCACTACCAGAAATTATATGCTCGAGTTACCCACATTAGGGGTAATCACAGGAGTCAACCCAGTCAAAGTGCAATGAAAGGGCCTCATCCTGAGAGGACCTCCTAGTTGATCAAGGTGCCTCTCGCATCAGGTAAGTTTTATGTTTAAATGCGACAAACCCGCTCCCACTGGGGAGACGTGCAATGGGTTCCTCGGATTTCGGAGGGCACAACCGGCGCGCAAAAAAACGGGGGGGACGATCCCCACCTCCGTTCTAAATATACCGGCCATTCTTTATTATTCTGACGCGGCACGATGGTATATTTAGACCTAGATCATAAATCTAATCTGGCTACGCTTCCGAATGTAAAAAGCTAAGCTAGGTTAAAAAAGCTTTAAAAAAGCTAAAAAGAAGACGGAAGAACACCGAACCGATCCGGGCAGTACAACCAATGAAGGCGACCCCCGTTCACGGAAAGGCGAAGGAAAAGACTAAGCCAGCTAGCACAAGAAGACGACAAACCGATTCCGGCAGTACAACCAACGAAGGCGACCCCCGTTCACAGAACGAGGACGAGGCTAGCTAACCTAGGGAGAAATTAAAATGAGAAGACCAGCTTCTCGCCCTCAAAGTGCCTAAGAGTCTTATTGGCCAACCACTGCTTCTCAAACGACCGAATTTGAGAAGGAGAACGACAGCGGCTGGCGAGCACTTTGAGCAAAAATTTCAAACGCGCAATGATTGCCTTCAGACAATCCGCTTCGGTGCGGCGTTTATCCCGAAAGCGGAAGTCGTTCCGCGCAACCCACAGGTAGTGCTTCACCACCTGGTGCATCCACATGATGATGTGGGGCATACGCTTACGCCTTGCACGAGAAACACCGAACAACAACTCGTTGACCGTGAAGGGTGTTGCCGAACCGTCGTACTGCATCAAGTTGAAATATACCCAGCCAACCAAGATACGAGCGTATCGACACTCAAAGAAGAGATGCTCGAGAGTTTCTGCATCGGCACGACAGTGACACTGGAGATCTATGTTGGCCATCCCAAAGCCGGTGACGAGGCGGGAGGCAGTGTAGAGGACACCATGGGCGATCTTCCAGTTCACATCAACGACTGCACGATCCAAGGACTGAAGATGGATCTGGTCCCAAGTTTCAGACCAGTGCAGCGGGCCGTGCAACACCACCACCATCAAACTGGGACCATGCCCGGACGATGTGCTGGTAGAAGGGAGGAAGAAGGGCAATCAAATTGGGCGGAAAAGAGGAAGTGCAAAACACTTCCACAGGTGTGACGGACAGACACGACATACAAAAGAAACTAAAAAAGGCTTTCCATTTAGCAGGTGTTGGAGCAAAGTAACGTTTGACCCACTGAATGGCAAAAGCCTTCGCCTTCAGGTCAAAGTCAATGACGCCAAAGCCCCCTTGACCCTTGGGCAAACAAACGGTACGGCGGACAACCAAATCGCGGCGACCCGACCAGAAAAAACCCCAGGTGGCCTTAACAATGCGCTTCTTGGCCCACTCCGGAATGGTAAACACATGGCACAAGTGCCAAATCTGGGAGAGGCCCAAGGTGTTGATCACTGTCGCCTTACCCTGATAGGTAAGTTGACGCCCCTTCCAGGACGACAAGCGCTTCTCGACCTTAGCGACTGGAGCCTCCCAAGTGGCTGTGGAGTAATCGCCAGCACTGATGGTAGCACCCAGCAACAACAACTCCTTCACCCAGTTGATACCGTGCGGGGTGTCCTGACGATCTTTCCAGGCACCTAACCACAAGCCCTTGGACTTGCCATGGTTCAACTTAGCCCCAGACGCCCGTTCGTATTGGGCGTATATGTCGAAGGTGGCCTGCATCGAAGTGTCAGTGGTAGCCGCAATAGATGTGTCGTCGGCAAACCCCGAGCACTTAAACACCCGATCTGCACCCGGTAGAGGAACACCCTCAATGGCAGGCGAGGCGGTGATGCTGCATGCCAACACTTCAATACAAAGCACATAAAGAAGGGGTGAAAGAGGACAGCCTTGTCGAACACCACGAGAAGGCATGAAAAAGGAAGAAGTCCAACCATTGATGACGACGGCAGACTCAACATTGGAATAAAAAAGGGAGATCCATTGTCAAAATGAATCGCCAAAACCAAAAGTGTGGAGGGATGCGTTGGAGAAAGGACCAATCCACCCGATCATAGGCCTTCTCTTGATCCAAAGAGAGAAGAGCAAGAGGGATATCCGCCCGATCGGCATACTCGATCAGATCACGCATCAGCATCAGGTTCTCAGAGATGGTATGACCCGGGATGCCACATGTTTGGTCATAGCCGACAATCGAGCCAATAACGCCCAAAAGGCGGCCAGCAATAGCCCTAGTGGCAATCTTGTAGTCCACGTTCAGTAAACTAATAGGGCGGTAATTTTTCGTTTCGAGACGATCATGCTTCTTATATAAAACAATGATGATGCCCCGACGTTGTGAGATGGAAAGTTGACCTTGTTGGTAGGCAAGGTTCAGAATACGAACAAGGTCTGGACCAAGAAGGTCCCAAAAACAAACAAAGAATTCCATTGGGAATCCATCTGAACCCGGCGTCTTGCCACGGGACATGCCGTGAAGAGCAGCACGACATTCCGCCTCTGATAACTCCCCGTCACAGGACTCGACCTCCGACTTGTTCAATCGACGAGTTAAACGACCCAGCATGATGTCCTGCTCAGATCAATCGCATTCCTCAGCCGTAAACAAGCGTTGGTAGTACGAGCGCCATGTCTCCAAGATCTTAAATGGGTCATGGTGAATGAGTCCCGTGTCAGGGTCACAAATACTAGTAATCTCCTGCTTGGCCCGGTGCTTTTTCTCCAAACTTAAAAAGAAAGAGGAGGATGTTTCGCCTTCTTCGGCCCAGCGACAGCGTACACGTACTTGCAAGGCCTTGGCTTCATGAAGGTGTATTGCACGAAGCTCCTCTTGCACAGCACAAAGTTGAGAGAAGGCAGAAGAGTCACCAGCATCAAACAGATGTTGCAAGCGTTTGAGCTGTCGTTCAAGATCCAGCTTGGTCCTTGACTGTTCGGGAGCTCGAGCACGGCCAAAACAACGAGTGATTTCCCTAAGGAAAAATTTCCCTTGATCCCACCAATCAAGGGAAGAGGAAAAGGTGGAAGAGGACTCCTGCATCTTCCAAAAAGCCCAGAAAGAGCGAACCAGGGCACAATACTCCGGACTGTCTGGCAGTGACGTATTGAATTTCCATACCCCCGGACCACGCGCAAACACGTCACCCAAATGGAACTTGAGCAACATGTAGCGGTGATCGGAGAAAAAGGAGGTATGGTACTGGCAGTCAGTGATCGATTGGTCCAAGACCAAAGGTGCCCAGATCATGTCGATTCGGGAAGAAAACTTACCTGAGGCATGATCCCACGAGAAGATCCGCTCAGCAGGATGACGTGTTCGCCACACAGGAAAAGTATGCGTGGCAGAAAGCAAGGATTGTAAGGCAGCAACACTTTCGCGGGCCGTGGCCGCCTGAGAAGGACCGGCATAAGACAGATGGTGGCGCCTATCCAAGTCCGGGTCCAGGACGGCATTGAAATCACAGCAAAGGAAAGTAGGAACTGCCAAATCAATATAATCTGGCAGGTTCGCAAAAAAAGTGTTGCGCACCGGGTTCTTGTTTGCCGCGTACAAAGAAACAAAACGTAACTTGTTCCCTTCGATGTCAATCTCAACCTGCAAGAAGCGACCATCGTTGTCCTTACGAACCTGCGTAAATGTATATATATCTTTAATTAAAATGGCGACCCCACACCGCTTATTTGAAAAAGAAGAGGAGGCCACACGAAAACCAGAATGACGGAACCAGCTCAAGATAGTACTGTGAGAGGATGCGTGCGTCTCTTGAAGGCAAACAATATCTGCTTGCATGCATTTCAGCCAATCAATTAGAGCTGTCCGTTTTATATGGTCATTAAGACCATTTATATTAAGTGTAAGTAAGTTATACATCGTTATTGTTAGTAAAAAGTCTGACCAGAGACTGATCAGCTAAAACATCCACCTGCTCGGAAGCAGAAGGAAGCAAAGACGGAGGATCGTCCTCCGAAAAATAGGATCTGCCATAAAAGGAGTCGCCTGATGAAAAATGCGGAGAGACTGGAGAAACTGGAAAATTGGAAGGCGTCGTTAACCAGCCTGCAGAATCAGAACTCCGCGGAGGAAAAAGGTCTGGCGACTCGGGGAACTCAAGCTCGCCCTGCCGTAATGGCAGCAAAGAAGAAGAGCCTGACAAGACAGCCAGAGCATAAGTGGAGGCCGCAGCAGGAGAAGCAGCGGAACCAGAAGCTTGCCAAGGAGCCAGAGCCTGACGAGAAGGGATGGGAGGTGGAGAAAACTCTGCCGCAGAACTAGCAGCATCTTCTAACGCAGGCTCACAAGAAGGCACAGGTGGAGTTGTGTACACAGGGGTGTGGGTCACAGGAGTGCCATCAGGGGACGGCTCTACAGCTCCAATAACTGGCGGAGGAAGCAAGGTAACAGGTTCGACAGACTGCTCACTCCGAGAGAGGCGCAGCTGCAGAGAGGGCTCAGATGGTGACACAGTAGCAGACGACTGACAAGTAGCTGCCACAGATGCACCACAAGGTACAGGTGATTTAGTACCAGTAGGAATGTGGCCCATAGATGGAGGAGTGGAGCCAACCAGCTCGGCAGCACTGTTAGTAGGCAAAGGACTGGCGACTGTAGTGGAGGAAGGAGACTTACTGACGGACAGGTGACTGCTTGATGGAGGAGATGGAGGAGTGGAGCCAACCAGCTCGGCAGCACTGTTAGTAGGCAAAGGACTGGCCACTGTAGTGGAGGAAGGAGACTTACTGACGGACAGGTGACTGCTTGATTGAAGCAGCCTCTGTTCCCGGATGTGTTTCGTCCGTGTGATCTTACCTGAGCGGCGAGATGAAGGCGGCGTATCAGGCACAACAGAGTCTGATACAGCATGCTCCGCAGAAGCATGATGGGGTGAGCTAGAAGGAGCGGGAGGAGGCTCACTAGCAGGCACGGACAAACACAAAGACTTCTTAGCCCCTGCAGTTGATCGAGGTTTCTGCAGGCGCTTCAGCTTGTCACGATTCATTGAGCGTTGCTGTACTAAGGACACTTCACGTTGGCAGGAAAAGTCATGCGATATAGCAAGCGACTCCCTGAACTCACTGATCGTGACAACTAACTTTTTGGGTTGAGGAGAGGAAACATCATCCTCAGAGGAAAGAGTAACAGCAGCGCCCGCGCCACTATCAGTTTCCATCCCGGTGGAAGGGACGGCAACAATAGCGGAATCCACAGGTTGGTCAACGGATGCACAAGGTGGAGCGGCATCGACACAAACAGAGGAAGCTGCTGCAGAAGATGTACGAGGCGATGACGCCTCCATAGGCTGGGAGCGCTGAACAGGCGCACCTGTATTGGATGGTAGTTTCTTTGTCCTTCCCTGCTGGCAACAGCGGGCAAAATGCCCAAAAGCGTTACAAGACAGGCAATAAGGTGGCTGACCGTTGTAACAGACTGAGCAAGGCAAGTTCGCTATCTTAACGACCACAGGAATTGGCCGAAGAAGAGACATGGTGACCATGCGTGTCCCAGTGCGAATGTCCTTGTAGCCTTTAACGCAAAGATCACGAACGCTAACGACACGGCCGTATGCGGACAAAGAAGACGAGATATAGCTATTTGGCATATGGAGAGGAGCCCGATCCACAAAGACATTTGTGAGTTGCTCATATGCCGGGGTTGGTGTGATGTTTACACTGCGAAAATTAAGACCATTAAGGTCATATCCCATCTTGTAGGAGGGAGAGGTGAATTGGATCCTGTACTGATTGTCAGGCAAAGCCTGAACAGCAGAGGTCCTCTCAGCCCCAATGGCCTTAATTAATGCCACCCTAACATCTTTAACGGTGTCGTTGCAGACCAACCGTTTGGGGAGGCGAAAGCAGGAGCTTGTCTGATTCCACTTTGCGAAATCCTTCGCAGTAAAGTTAGGGAATGACATATTTTAAATGAAATGTATATACTTATGTAGGTGTATTAGTGAAACAAAGAATTAGGCCAACCGAGGTGACTCGCTGTGCCTACTAAACGCTAGAACTGACTGATCCTTAATAAAACAGGCAGTACAACCACTGAAGGCGACCACCGTTTAGAAAGAAGAAGGAAAAGCCAGATATATATATAGATATACTAATACACCGCTAAAAAAAGAGCGATTGCACCAAAAGTACACAGACAACCGCCAAATGTGCCCAAAACCAACGGCACAAAAAGCGAATATACCAAAAAGTGTACAAACAACCGCCAAAGAGCGATTCCAGCAAACAAGAACAATCGCCAAAGAACAAAAGTCAAGTAAATATGCGCACAAACCAGCACAAAACTTAACAAAGAGTGTGACTGCACCAAAAACAGTCACCAAAAACCCAGGTACAAACACTACTACCCCCAGGAACAAAAGGAGCAGCACCACAAACAGTGATTGAACCAATCACAAAATACCCAGGAAAAAGGAAGGAAAACCAGGGAACGGACAAGAACAACCCAAAGCTGCTGCCCGCAACAAGGCAAAGACAAAGACCAACAAAAGACAGCCTTCCTTTGAGTGATCCCCTAATTAGACCACTCGACAGGAAACAACCAGAAACACACTAGTCACCACTACCTCGTAAAACACTAAAAACACTGGTACTGGCGGCCTTAAGACTGTGCTGGGTGCTAATCACCCAGTCCCACAGCCAGGAAAACTACTTGACTACGATCCGAAGTCCGAGGCAAGCAGTCAAGAAGAAAAAAGAAGTGGAGTAGTCGCTACCTAAACACCTAACAAGTTAGGCTGGCCAGTCGACCGGAAGACAAGAACAAAGACGAGGGCGTGTCTGCACAAACAACTGCAGCTAGTTGATAACCTTGACAACAGAGTTTTGGACTGTGTTCCAAGCATAGATCCTCCACTGCAAGGGTGAAGAACCTGACGCATGTAAGTACCTGCGTCAGGTAAGTATGCTGTTGTTTCCGCCGCTCACCTTATATACGCGATGATGATGAGACGCGATTGTGGTAGTTCGGGGGTTTCCCTCTTGTCTTGAACGTCATGTGCCGCGATCTAGAGAATGAAAAAGTATGTTAGTAAAATTAGATGTAGTTGATTCGGTTCATAGCTGAATGAAAACACGCTCACAAGGTGTGAAATATCAGCATAGGATAAATAATAAAGTGTTACAAGTCATATGATATGTATGTTATATATGCATGAGAAAGCCATGATATATTATTTCACGTGGTATTCGAGTATGGCGTTAATATAAATCGATCGGCATGTGAAAAGTACTTAAGTGTGTGTAATCGTCTAATAAAGTAGAGATTGCTTTATAGTTTGATTTGAAATAAAAAAATGTTCTTCCCCGAGTGGGGAAGGGGCCGTACTCGGATGTAGTGCAATACCGAGACAACCCGTAGCCAGGGCGAAGCAAGCTTCAATCCCATGGCCGAAGTCCAAAAATCAGTTTAATATATGAGTTAGGCATTGCCTAACATATCAGATATTAAGCTGATAAGAACAGATACTACACTTGATCTTATTTTGGATCGTACGACAGAAGGCTTATTGACTCCGACGGTGCAATGGAGCCTGGACCCTCGACACTGCCGCACCCAGGGGGACCGCTACAGGCGACGCAAACCGACAGGGGTCGTGAACCCCTCCCCCGTGCCATAATACAGCCATGAATGGTCCCAAAACCTATGATCGTGAATGGTTCAGGAGTGAGACTGACTAAAGATGGAACAACATGAGCGACCCCATGGGCCAAGACAAAACGAGATCGAGAAAACATTCAACAACCACTGGTCCCAGCCAACCAAAGTCAACTGAACCAGGGGAACCGAGTGGCCAGCCTGCCAAGCTAAAAGCAAAACAAACGGAACCTCGGAACAAAAATTCGGATAGCCACAAAGTACAGGACAAACAAAATGTACCCACACTCACATAAGACCTGACAAACATAGGTGACCAGACAAAACAAAGGCTAGACAGAAACGGGACAAACTAACATAAGAAAAGTTATGCAAGTCAAAACAGTCGAAAATAACCACAATACTACATTTTAATAGACACGTGAACCGACATTTTTCAAATCGACGACTAGCTGGCAAAAGCCAGAGATCTTTAACCAGGGCGGAACTAGTCAAATTCGGATAAAACCCTGGTCAAAAACAAGGCAAGAGCAAATACAGCGCAAAGCTGAGGTATTTGCCCCTACAGGTAGACACACACAGAGAGAAAGGAAGGCCCGGGCAGGCCACCTTCCTTCCTGGGGCAGGAGAGCGCACCTCCATATACGGGGCAGGGGAAGACCCCATGACCTAAAAGAACAAGGGGGCAAAACAAATTACCCCCTAAAAGGAGTTTTACGGCCTAAAGAGCCCGGTCCCTAAGGACCAGACGATACTCGGTCAGGCCCCTTTCGGGAACTGAAATTTACCTAAAGCGAACATGCACACACTTAGCTTGGCCTGTTCCCAGACCACCGAGCCACTGACCAAGAGAAGGAACCGACCACAGCTGGTGGGAGCAGGCTCTCCGGGGCAAGGGTTAAAGCTAGTTACAACAAAGACCCCAGCACTCCCCCAGCAAGCCACTCATCCTCGTAAAACGAGAACTTCGCTGTTGGACTTTCGAGACAAACCGAAACGTAGCTAAGATTTTCTCGACCAAGTCCTCGAGATCTGGACGAGTACCCGCAAATTGCCAGGCATTTCTAGCGACCCAAACATAATGCCGCAGGGTTGCCAGAATAAACTTATATCCGGCCGGGATTTTGACCGAAGTCGCAAAGCCGAACCGGATTTCAGCGTTCGAAAGGTTCCGCCTGGCAGGACGAAACCGACCCAACAACCCCTCGAACCAGTCAATCAATGCTCGAGCCAAAGGACAGTCAATGAACAGGTGGTGTTGCGACTCAATGGTCCCGCAGTGACAATGAAAGTTGTTGACCACCACACCCCACTTGGATATCCGATCACAGGTAGGCAAGATGCCATGCACTGCCAACCAGTTCGTTTTCCATACTGGGCGATCATAGCGCAGAAGTTCTAAATCACGCCAAACTGCCAGCCAGTCAATGTTGAACATGGCGAACTTTGCCACACACCGATGTTCGGTCTGGGGCACAACAATGGAATACGCCACTCTGCTAGATAAATTGGACAAATGTAGCTCATCACTCCCTGATGGCACGACCCAAACGCCTGCCGAATCTTGTGCGCCTCCCAACACAAGCCAGGACTCGAGCACTTGCTGGTAGAAAAACGGCAGTTTGTTGAGTGTGGAACGGCCAATGTGCCGCAGGTTAAATACACGAATGACTGGTTCGGCAAGAAAAGCCCGGCGAAGGAAGTGCCGGAAAAAGCACTTCCAAGGATGTTCCTGACCAACAAGGAAGCGTTTCACCCACATCACCCGGAGTGATGCTAGCTTCGAAGCCACAATGACAACCCCCAAACCACCACGCGACAGGGGTTGCGTCACCGAAGACCGTTTGAGCCACTCCCCTTTTCCGTTCCACACGAAATTGAAGAGCAACTGATCTAACCAAGAGACTAGGTGCGAGCTTACCGGCACCGTGGCACCCAAGTACCAGAAACGGCTCGCACCCAGGACGCATGCAACTAACGCACGACCACGGTAAGACAAATGCCGACGTTGCCAGGAAAGGAAAACTGCCTCCAGTTTACGATAGGCAGGCTCCCAGTCTTGAGTACTCTCCGAAGAGATTCTCGCGCCTAGGACCACAATGTGACTGGAGGACCATTTTAAAACCACCGGGAGCGAAGTACGATTACGGCAAGGACCCAACAAAAGACCGCAGCATTTGCCTTGATTCAAACGAGCCCCACTGGCACGCTCATACTTCGCGAACAGCGCAAACAGTGCACGCAACGAGGCGTCACTAACAACAAGACTCGATGTGTCATCAGCATACTGAGAAATCTTCACCACGTTGTTCCCACCCGGAAGAGGGAAACCGTCGATGTGGATATCGGCTCGGACAGCGCATGCCAACGACTCCATCACCAAGACATACAACAAAGGCGAGAGTGGACAACCTTGGTGTACCCCACGAGTCACCGGGAAATAGTCCGTAAGAAAACCATTCACCGAGACTGCAGAGTACACGTCAGTATAAAGTATCTTAATCCAGCGCCGGAAAGACGGTCCGAATCCCATCCGTTCTAAGACCTTCAACATATAGGATATTTCTACACGATCGAAGGCTTTCTCTTGATCCAAGGAGACAATTGCTCCCCCGATATGACATCGATTAGCGTAATCAGCTACGTCTTGCAGAAGACGTATGTTTTCCCCGGAAAAGCGACCCGGTATCCCACACGTTTGATCAGGCGAGACGACGGACGCGATCACACAGAGTAAACGATTAGCTAAGGCCTTTGCTGCGATCTTGTAATCCGCGCACAGTAGCGTGATCGGCCTCCAATTGGCAGCATCCAAACAGTCACCCTTCTTATAAAGAAGGGTGATCGCACCACATCGATGGGATTTAGGTAATCGACCTTGACGGTAGCTAAAGTTGTATACGTCGACTAAATCTGGGCCCAATTGTTTCCAGAACCTACGATAAAACTCGGCCGGGAAACCATCTACCCCGGGCGATTTAGCTGAGGCCATGCTCGAAAGGTCTTTTGAACATTCCTCAATCGTGAGGTCCCCCTCACACAACTTGGAGTCAGCTGGCGTTAAACTACGCTCAATGCCATCGAGAAACTGGGCTTGATCATCGATCACCAGTTCCTGCGATGAAAACAAGTGAAAATAGAAATCACGCCAGACATCAGAAACGTCCTTAGCGCTAGTGGCCACAGAGCCATCACTCCGCCTAACTGCTTTGATCAGCCTCTGTTGACCTCGAACTTTTTCTTTCCGCAGAAAATAGGACGTCGATCTCTCCCCTTCTTCTGCCTCCTGGACCTGCGCCCGTAACCGAGCACCCTGAGCCTCATGCAGAAGATATGCATCAAGCTCAGCCCTCGTATCTGTAAGAAGCGCGGAGAGATTTTCACCGCCATCTGCCCGTTTTTCTAAGTCTTTCAACTTGGAATTCAACTTGTGGGCTAATCGGGCAAGATCCCTCGCCAGCCTGCGAGAGAAGGCTCGAATAAGCTTACGTAACTCGATCTTACCAGCTTCGTACCAATTCGAGAGAAAGCAAAACCTGCGCTCAGCGCGCCAATTGCACCAAAAGTCCTCGACCTCAGCACAAAAGGCCTCATTTTTTAAAAGCGAGACGTTGAATTTCCACAAGCCTGGTCCACGTTCCACCCCAAATGGAAGAGCGATTTCGAGGAACACACATCGGTGATCTGATCGAAGGAAAGGTGATATTTCCACAGAATGGACCAGCCCCAGATATCGCTCCGGCAGCCAGATCATATCAATACGTGAGCCCTGGGAACCATTTGTCCTCCTCCAGGTGAACTCTTTGGCGCCAGGGTGACGCGTCGCAGAGGTCGAATGTACTCATCAAATCACAATGAGTGGAGGCCCAATTGTTCGCCCAGGGAGACTCTGGATTACAACCAAATCGATCAACATATGGGTCGACTGCCGCGTTGAAGTCCCCACACATCAACAGAGGGATATCAGGGTCAATAGCAGAGTAAAGGGACTCAAAGAATTGTTTCCCTTCATCTTTTGAATTCGGCGCATAGAGGCACATGACTTGAAAGATCAGGTTGTTGCTAGAGAATTCAGCAACCACCAGCCGCCCGACGTCATCCCTCTTAGAACTAATTACCTCGAATTTAGGCTTGAAGAGAATGGCAACGCCCGCGGAACGCGCGCTACCCGGTGAGCTGACACACTCATACCTAAAGCGGGGCTGTACACGAGCATTATGCTCCTCCACCCAGTCATGCATCTCATTGGTTGAAGTAGCATGCGATTCTTGCACACACACAATATCAGGACAAAAACACACAAGCCAAGAGAAAAAAACGAGACGAGCATCCGTAGAACGGAGCCCCTGAACATTAATCGTCACAAGTCTCATTGGAGGAGTCGCCATCGTCATGGAGAGCAGCAAACTGATTCTCGAGAGGGATCGATGGCAAGGACTGCGACCGTTTCTGTCCAGAGGTGGGAAGCGGACGAGGATTGCATTTGGTCCGAGCGAGGGACAACGAAGGCTTTTCAGCTAGGCGATAAGGTTTACTTTTCTCCGACGTCTTGCGCATCGAGCTCTGCCGAGATGCCTTTCGACCTGAGATAACGGATATGGGAGGGAGGGCCTCGAGGGAAACCGTATCAGTTGGCAAGGGACCAACGAACAATAGCGGGGAGGCAGACGTAGCTGACAAAGAAAGTTCAGTAGATGAATCGGAAGGGTACATAGGACGAGGCAAAAGTGTTCGAGGAGGCGACATCAGAATGGCAGCAAGCGGATCCGTCACTTTGGTGATATCCATACGTTCACTCTCCGCGAGAGACTCAGAGGCAGCAGCTTCCATCTCCACAGGACAATCGCCCATCGGCACAACCGAGGATTCACCAATGGTGGCCACAGCAGGCAGATCTTCAGCCACAGGGGCTGGCGAGGTTCTTTGCAGGGTGACTACAGCAGGATCAACAGGAGTGGGAAGCTCAGTATCACCTGGCAAGATGACGTGTGATAACGTAGCAGACGGATCGACACCATCACCGCCACCTGGCGGAACATCAACGGGCTCAGTAACCTGAGCGGTAGGTGGGTTTAAATGAGAAACCTCCACAGTGGACTTAGGAGGAGGATCGATCGTACGAGGGCCAGCCTCGTCACCAGCAACAACTTCGGCGAAGGAAGGAAGTTCAGGTATCCCACCATCCTGAGAGCCCCCTGGGCCCTGTTGCTCCACAGGCGGCTCTGCGGGCCGCTTACGTTTACGCTTGTTCGGACAATTCCGGGCCTCATGACCAGCCCCCGAACACACAAAACAGGACCGAGGCTGATTTCGGTAAAAAACATTGATCGGATTCCCCTGAACCGAAATCCGACTCGGGATGTCCCTTTTAAGGACCATGTCCGCAACGAGCTTTGAAAGGCCATACCCCTTGTGCTTGATGACCTTGGAGCCCTTGCATTCACCAAATTGGCGCAACTCGGCCAAAACAGCGTTCCCCGGGAGTCCATATGGGACACGTTCAAGAGTAACGGAGACAGAGGTCTTGACCTCGGCTAGTTTGACCGGATGGGTACGAAAGGTAATCCCATTTGCCAGAAATTCCACCACCTGTTCCTTACGGGAAAGGTGGATGATAAACGATTTGGCGGTGTGCTGCATAATGTTGCACACCAGCCCCCGCATTACAGATTCCCCCAACTGATGCTCAATGTCATCAAGGATCTCAGTCAGAGATGGCGCTGGGCTGAGCACAAGATCTGGTAGCGTTCCAATCACGGCTCTGTGGCCTTCATATATAGGCATTATAATCGCCCAACACTTGTGGTGCACAAGATGCGCACGCACACACACAGTAAATATATACAAAAAAAGAACTATATACAATGTTACCAACAGCTGGTCCCAACTTGGGTACCAGCTGTAAAGTCCACACCACACGGGAGGTCCAACCACAGATACCAAGGAGATACACCAGGAACACGGGACCACAAACAGCCCAAAGCCAGAGGATCACCAGCACCAGAGGACAATAGCAACCAGGACCAGAGACCAAAAACTTCGCACCCCAAAGGAACAGGAACACAGGAACTTCTTCTTCTAGGGAACCACTTCTTCTAGGGAACCACTTCACAGAACAGATATCGAAAGCGTAGTATTTAATAAACCAAGATACCAGTTAGCCAAAAGGCCGAGAAGCGATGCCTTCTTCGCCGTTTGCCACACATATTTCTACCGAACATTTGTGCTACGAAAACGCGGTGAGAAGGAGCTCGCTTGCGAGCGATTATGACGTCGACAGGCGCCTGGTTACTCGTCGCACGAGCACGGCAAGTCCGTTATGATCGCCCACCGCGACTCTGGCGGTTCTCTCGCGCACGCGCGTGCGGTCGCGTAGAGGGGCACGGCGGCCGTGTGGCATCGAGCGTGAGACGAGAGTTGCGAGCGTATCGGCTTTCGCGCTCTTCAAAGATTCACGAATGCGTCGAGCTTCTTTCACTCGCAAACTGCGTTGTGACCCGGAAAGGTTTCGGGTCACACGCCGTGAAATAATGCAATTTTGGAATATTTACTCGCTATTCTATAAGTTTGACCGGCAAAACACGTGCGTTTGAGAGTGACACGCGAGCCAGTTAATGGGCACTTGGAATGTACGTGCGATGGCTTGAAATTCCATTGGCAAGCAAGTGACTTTATACAGCAGCGAATGAATTGAATAGTGTGTGCAAAGACTCGAAGTGCTTACAAAATATAAACACGTGTATAGCTTTACTTACCATGTAATATGAACAGGAGATGGAGAGATTTCGGCACGGAGAATATATAAAGAGTGTCTTCTGTGATAAATGATATGTTTGACATCGGATTCTATACAAAAACAATCGACACACATGGCAGTGCTAAGAAAGAACACGGCTTTATACATTTATACATGAATATTATATGTTGAAGGGGACGAGCGCGAACGCAGGTCCCCACTACCAGAAATTATACGCTCGAGTTACCCACATTAGGGGTAATCGCAGGAGTCAACCCAGTCGAAGTGCAATGAAAGGGCCTCATCCTGAGAGGACTTCCTAGTTGATCAAGGTGCCTCTCGCGTCAGGTAAGTTTATGTTTATAGCCTGCTTAACTCAATCCCAAAGGGAAAGTGCAATGAGCAGCAGGTTAAAACACACAGGAGATCGCCCACGTCCTACAGGGCAAAACTGCAGGCCAAACTAGGGCTACCAACCTCCTGAGCGCAATAACAACAGTACGCATGCGCACTGTGCTAACCTCCAGAGGACACAAAGTGACCAATGGTGAGAGGTTTAGACGAACTCCGAAGAGAACGAATAAATAAGACGAACTAGCAAGCTAGAACGAATGAATAAGACGAACTCCGAAGAGAACGAATGAAAAACTTAACCATGACGCGTCAGGTAAGTATGCTGTTGTTTACGGCGCTCACCTTATATACGCGATGATGATGAGACGCGATTGTGGTAGTTCAGGGGTTTCCCTCTTGTCTTGAACGTCATGTGCCGCGGTCTAGAGGATGGAAAAGTATGTTAGTCAAATTATATGTAGTTGATTCGGTTCGTAGCCGAATGAAAACACGCTCACAAGGTGTGAAATATCAACATAGGATATAAATAATAAAGTGTTACAAGTCATATGATATGTATGTTATATATGCATGAGAAAGCCGTGATATATTATTTCATGTGGTATTCGAGTATGGTGTTAATATAAATCTATGGGCATGTGAAAAGTACTTAAGTGTGTGTGATCGTCTAATAAACTAGAGATTGCTTTATAGTTTGATTTGAAATAAAAAATGTTCTTCCCCGAGTGGGGAAGGGGCCGTACTCGGATGTAGTGCAATACCGAGACAACCCGTGGCCAGGGCGAAGCAAGCTTCAATCCCATGGCCGAAGTCCAAAAATCAGTTTAATATATGAGTTAGGCATTGCCTAACATATCAGATATTAAGCTGATAAGAACAGAGTTTCTTATCTAAAGATGCACGAAAAGTGATGGGGTCCTTCTGAGGGGTCTAGCTAGTGCGTTTATCTCACGCATGTGGTCCTATGTCTTAAACTTAAACTGATTTGAGCTTATTTTTTGCTCTTGGTGCCTTAAATTGAACTTAAGAGATATATAAAACCTAACGTGTGGCTGACTTATTTTGGATTTTCCATGCAATTTGAAATGTCGACTCATGAGCGGGGATTTTCTCATGGACGAGTACCTATGGTGAAGTATGTACCCGAGTGGTCTGTGTATGTGTGCGTATAAAGGGGAAAAACAAAAAAGTTCAGTGGCTAAATGAAAATATAAAAACATGTGTGCCTAGTGCACTGTATAAAGACTTAATTGATGGAAGGGACTATGCCGAAGCATAGCCCCTGGATTTTAATATTCATCATCATAGCCGTAGTAGTCATCGTCAACATCGTGGTAGGATTCGTCATCTGGGTAGGAATCAAGGAGATCAAATGGATGGTGGGAGCGGTCCTGGTTTTCGTCTTCGTGTGGGAGGGAGTCAACGCCGTGGAGGTAGAAAAGTTGTTGGTGGCCTGATTCGGGGTTGAGCTGGAGGTGTTTGAATGTTGCAGCAATGAGGTGGCGGGTGAACTTACAAAGGGCCGCGTGGTATTGTTCAACTTGATCAAATTCAGGTATGGCACTGAGGAATAGTTGGCCAATAAGGTAATCCTTGGTGGAGTTGGTGTCACTGGGGTCAGGTTCTTCAATCTTGTGGGTGGTCAGGAATAGGGCGGTTTGTGTCTGGAGGGATTCGATTGGGATTCCGGTAGCTAGGGATTGTTGCTTGAAGAAGGCATTGCGGTAATGGAGGAGGTGGGTTGGTAGGTCTTCGCAGGTCAGCAGGTGGGATATTGTTTTTGTTTCATCAAAGTTCGGGTTCTGGCAGAGGCGGCAGTGACGATACTGGGTGGTAGGTGGGTCATACTCGGTTGCGGCATCAAGGGTGTGTACTGGAGCGGGTTTGCCTTTCTTCTTCTTCTTCGAGGTGGTGGAGGTAGTAGTGTCTGGTGGATCGGAGGTTGGAATAAAACAGAAGGAAGCTTGGGTACTGATGGTTCTGGTTGAGTATTTGGGCTCTTGAGCGGGGGTTTGCGTGGTGGAAACTTTAGTGGAGGGTGACGAGGTTTGAGAGCTGGTGGTGGTAACAACAGGTCCTGTGGTCGAGGTGCCAGCATCCTGGTATAGATTCGGTAAAAACGTGGATGTCTGGACACCGGTGCCCATAGTAGCTGGAGTTGAGGTTTGGCAGAAAGTGGAAGAGGTATTGATGGTAACTGGGATGGGGTCAGTGGAGGCATCCTGGGTTTGTTGATTAGGGAACGTGGATGTCTGGACACTGGCGTCCATTACAGCTGGTGGAGAGGTTTGTGCAGAGGCTGCAACGATCATCTTGGTAGAGGTAGCAGTGGAGGCATCCTTGGTTTGTTTATTAGGCTTCGTGGATGTCTTTATGCTGGTTTCTATCGTGGATGGAAAGTCAAGGCGTACAGGTGATAGGTCTGGAGTGCTGCGTCGTGGAGGAGATGAAGGTGAGTAGTGTGGCAGAGAAGAGTAGCCAGAGTCATCGAGGGTCGAGGTTGGAGATGCAGGAGGCGTAAGTGTAGTTGGAGTGGTCCAGGTCAGGCAGGAGAGGAGGTGGTTGTCAACTTGTTCGAGGGACCAAGAGGTAGGCGAAGTGTGCAGAGAAGCGATGGCGGTCATCAGTGGAGGAGGGAACAGTGCGAGCTTGCTTGAGGGTTGTCCGATATTCGTTGTCCATTTCAGTTCTAGTTTTGTCAGGAGGGTGTCTTGTTGGAGTTTCCACGAAAAAGGTGGGCCATAGCCGAGCTGTTCAATGGTGGATCGCAGCATAGGAGGGATAGGCGATACAGGTGGGCCAAGGAGACCTGGCTTACACCCGCATGCCCAGTTTCGGTTATGGCCACCCTCGCCGGTCATATGCACAAAGCCTGAAGCCTTGGAGGCCTTCGGCTTGTACATACTCCCTTTGAGAGTAAGCCAATCCCGAACTCGAGTTCTTCTGCCGTCTTCGTCTTGGCCAAGGACTTGCTTCGGAGTTGCCAAACGTCAGGATTCTGCTGCTGCCTCTTCTTTTGTGCGTCTTCTTGCCAAGGTCTTGATTTATTAAGCTGATAAGAACAGATCCTTTTTTTGTTTTTCAAAGTCTTTATTAACATAATTAAATGATATTTACATGTGCATATATTACTCATTTGTCTCTAACTTTCTAGGTGCAGTTCGATTTCAATTATCCTTAATACTAATGTATTTTTCTTTTTCTAGATGCAGTTCATTTTTGGCTTTCTCAGGTTTTTCATTTTTAGGTGGACTTCAGTCCATCATTTTAACAGTGTTTTTTCCTTTTAGATGTGGAATACAGTTTGATCATTGTTCCTGGACAGGATTATTTGTCCAAAACCCCAGAAATCAGCTACTTTGTTAATGTTATTAAGTTCCTCTGCTTTAACTCGGCTTTTGATCTTTTGGATAACATTATGCTTCAGCGAAACTTGTTTCTCCAACCCGACTATTTTCTTATTTCTCGAGGCCCATAGTGTGTGTGCGGCTAGGGTGATGATATAGTAGGTTAGTCTTTCTCGTTTTTCTTCCTTGGGTAAGTGCCAGCCAAAGGCTATGGTTTCCAACCGTATAGGAATGTTGGTACCGGCGGTTGCCGATATTAGTTGACGTAGGTCTTGCCATAGTTGTATGGCTCGTTGACAACTGATCAGGGCGTGGTGCATATCTTCATTGTGATTGCAGAATGGGCATTGCGGTTGAACCTGAACACCCCAGTGTCTGAGTAAACTTTTGGTTGGTAGTACCCGGTGCGCGAGTCGCCACAGAAATTCTTTGGCTTGATTATTAGCTTCTGACCCCCAAATGTGGGGCCAGACTTGTTCGAAATTGAGAGGCAGTCCAACATATCGCTTCCACTCCGTTTCACATCGAGGTGTGGTCTTTCGTTCGTGCCATGTTTTCATTGTCTTCGCGGTAAGATGGTGGTCAGGTGTAGCCTTGATTTTATCCCTGTGTTGTCTGCAGAATTGGAGGAGTACTTCGTACCATGAGGGTGTGTGTTCTGGATCGCCATGTGGTTTCGTGTTTGATCTAAGCCACAACCATTCGGACGTCTTGATCAAACCCAGCGATTGACCTGTCCAGTAACGTCCGTGGTGTGTCCATAGCGCTTTATTCTTTTGGTCGACTATCTTCCTGATCCATTTGACGAGGCTGATTTTAGCAATATCGTTCAGGTCTGGTAGGCCTAAACCACCCTCCCCACGGGGAAGATGGCATGTAGCTCTGGATACGAGTTCGTTTCGATTATTCCATAAAAACTGGAAGCATAGCCGTTGAGCTTTTACGATGATGTTTGGAGGGATTGGGAAAATGGATGACAGGTAAATGATGGTTGCAATCGCATATGTGCGTATTAGTACTGCCTTCCCGAGAACAGTCTGGGATCGGTTTTTCCATGCTTCGAATTTCTTTTCTAGTTTGTCCAGCTGTTTTGCCCAATCCTGTTCCATATTATTCCCCATTTTCGTGCCTAGCACCGTGATCGCGTCGGTCTTCCATGTTATGGGGACTGGTCCCGTTGTCCGACCCGCCTGTTGGCCCACGTACACGCCTGTTGGCCCACGTACACGCCTTCCGTCTTTTCCATGTTTAACTTACTGCCGCTTGCCGCTTCGTACTGCTGGATAACCTCGAAGGCCCGGGCCACCGAGCGGTCATCTTTTAGGGTTAATGTGCCGTCGTCTGCATAAGCTGATATTTTGCTTTCATCAATAGTTCCAGGTACCGGTATCCCCTCGATCCGTTCGTCTTTCCTAATGGCTGTTGCCAGTGTTTCAATGATCAGAGTGTATAACAGGGGTGACAAGGGACAGCCCTGTCTTACACCTCTCCCGAGATAAACCGTGTCCGACAAGTATCCATTGTTGATAATTTTACAGTTAGCCCCTGCGTACAGGGTGCGAATCCATTGAACAAACGAGGGACCATAGTTCATTTTTATTAAGATCTTTTCAAGGAACCTTCGGTTGACGCGGTCGAATGCCTTTTCTTGGTCTAAGTTCACGAGAATTAAATTGTTTCCCCGAGTGTTAGCTTCGTGGATCATGTCTCGTAGTCTGAGAGTATTATCGAAGATGGATCTCTGTGGGATTCCGCACGTCTGGTCAGGGTGGACTCCCGTAGGTAGCGTTGGTCTTAGTCTGTTGGCTATGGCAGTCGCGAGTAGTTTATAGTCTGTGTTCAAGAGTGATATAGGTCTCCAATTTTTCAATCGAGTTTTGTCACCTTTCTTGAAGAGTAACCTTAGGAGTGACGATGTTTGCGTTGGTGAGAGTTGTTCCCCTTCAGAGGCAAAGTTGAAGGCTTCGACGAGATCGTCAGCGATCATATTCCAGAATGTTTGGTAAAATTCGGTCGTTAACCCGTCCGGTCCTGGAGATTTGTTTCCGTGCATTTTTTTAAGAGCCTCATCGAGTTCTTTCCGCGTGATTGGTCCTTCGCACAAGTTCTTTGCGTGATGCTCGAGAGTTCTATCTAGTTGCTCAAGGAACCATTTTTGTGTATCTTCGTCTACCTCCTCGTCCGTGTATAGTGTTTGGTAAAAGTCCACCGTTGCCTGTAGTATGTCTTTTGGTGATGTAATCTCACCTCGTGCTGTCGTTAATTTTGTAATAGTGGCTTGTTTCTGCTTTGTTTGTTCCAGGTTGAAGAAAAACCTCGTCGGTTTTTCGCCTTTCTCAAGCCACGAGGCCCGACTGCGAACTTTAGCGCCTTCGAGCCTTTTTGTGACGAGTTCTCGTAGTTGCTGTTCTATGGTACTTATCGCATTCACATCTGGGTGCAGTTCGTTTTTAAGTTTCGTGAGCTTGTGTCTTAGTGATGTTTCCAGTTTCTCGCGGTTTCTGATCTTTCTTACCGAATGAGTAATGGCAACTTTCTTGAAATGTGCTTTTACTTCGTCCCACCATTCTAACTTGTCTGGGTATTCGTTTGCGCATGCTTTCCAAAAGGAGTACACGTACGTTATCTCCCTTCCGAAAGCTTTGTCGTCGAGGAGCGTGTTATTAAATTTCCATACACCCTTCCCACGTTGCCTGGAGTCCGTCAAGACAAAGACAACCTCCACAGCGGAGTGGTCCGAATGCGGGCAGGCCCGTATACACGAAGTTGCAGTTCCAGTAGTTTCTTTTGGTATGTACCATCTGTCCAAGCATGATCGTAAAGTGAAATCACGGTTGCTCCACGTATAAATTCTGTCTCCCGGATGTTGTGCTCGCCATATGTCTGTCAGATCGTGGTTGGATGGAAGTTCGATAGCTCTTCAAGGCCCACTGTGCCGCTTGTTGGGTTCCCGCCTAGTTTATCATATGTGGGATCTTCGACACAATTGAAGTCTCCAGCTAGTATTAAGTTGGTGTCACCTGTTTTAAAGTTCCATATCGTTTCCATAAAGTCTTTGCGTTCTCTTGGTATTGTTGGTGCATATACATTTATAATATTTAGTTCCTGTTCATTGTTTTTATCCCTAGTCGACCGTCCATATCATCCGTCAGCTCAACTAGATCCCCATATAAACTTAAAGTTTGCTGTAGTATGTCTTGGTCGGCATCCAACGGATAACCGTAAGCCCGCACATAGATATATGTAGGTCTGACTATGAAACGTGCTTCGTTTGATTTCAGCTCGAACTCCTTTCCGTGTAGGTTGATCTTTTGTTCTTTGTACTTTTGTCGATCGGTTCTTGTGTTGAAAACAACAAACCACACGGTTTTACTATAACATTCGATCCCCTCGATCGTGTTCATTTCAATTCCTGCGTCCTTTAGACTATTGTAATCAGTCGATTGGTCAAAACTTTAGCCAAGATCTTATAATCGGTACACAGCAAGGAAATGGGACGCCAGTTTTTCGTATCCAACTTGTCATTCTTTTTATAAAGTAAAGTGATTAATCCAGTACGCTGGGTAAATGACAGTGAGCCCTGTACAAGACAGTCATTCAGAACAGAAACAAGATCTGAACCAAGAACACCCCAAAAACACTTATAGAATTCGTAGGGCAAGCCATCAATGCCAGGTGACTTGTTAGGTCGAAAACTGTTAAGGGCCGCAAGACATTCATGAGCAGTAAGATCACCTTCACACAAAGCCGACTCGCGATCTGACAGAGCCAAGTCCAGAGAGTTGATAAAAAAGTCTTGATCCGGTGGAGAAAGAATACAGGCGGTAAACAATTGAACATAAAAAAGACACCAGACACGAATAATGGCCGAAACAGAACGAACAATAACACCTTGCGCATTCCGAATTCCAGTAAATAACTTACGGATGGCACGAGTCTTTTCAAGACGGAAGAAATAAGATGATGAGGACTCACCCTCTTCTGCCCATTGTTCCTTAGCACGAAGTTTAGCTCCCTCCGCACGATGCTGATGTTCAAGCTCAAGGAGTTCCTTGGTTTCTTTAATGAGATGGGCCACATCTTCACCACTCCGTTCACGGCGACTAAGGTGATACAAAGTGTGATCTAAGGAAGAAATACGAGCCCTTGATCAAAGATTTCAGACGGGCTTTACCAGCATCCCACCACAAGTCGAGAGAATGATACGAGTCCTTCTGATCCTGCCACGAATGCCCAAAATCACGAACACGAGTTTTAAATACCTCATTGGCCAAAAGAGAAGTGTTTAGCTTCCAAACCCCAGGACCCCGATCAGGCATAGTGGGCAGGGAAACACAAAGAAAAACGTACGAATGATCCGAACGAAAAAAAGGTAAAATATCGACTTGCCGAACATGTTCAAGCAAGGAGGACGAAATCCAGAACATATCGAGACGAGAGGCTTGAGCACCATTAGGGCGACGCCATGTAAAGTCACGAACAAGGGGATGACACTCACGCCAGGCATCCACCAGATTTAAAGTGGAGGTAATATGAGACAGAGTCTGAGGCCAGTTGTAAGCCCAGTAGGAGGATGAATTACAACCCATCCGATCCAACTGCGAATCCACAACAGTATTAAAATCGCCACAAAATATAGTATAAGGAATAGGATCGATCTCTGGGAGGATAGATGCGAAGAAATCGTCGCCAAGCCGTTTCTGGTTTGGACCGTACACATTGACCACTTGAAATGGCGAAGAATCACATGCAGCGAATGAAAAATGAGTGATTACCAAACGACCAACAGCATCTCGATGCAATTTTTCCATAAGGAAAGATGGCTTGTGCAAAATAGCAACACCAGCACTGCGAGCAGAGCCAGGAGATGAGACGACAGAATAACGTTGGAGGTTATTGCCATTGTCAGATTCGGACTGGACCCAAGATTCAAATTCAACACTAGAAGTAGAATGCGTCTCTTGAAGACAGATAATGTCAGCTTTCACACAATTGAGCCAGGAAAAAAAAGTACTCCGTTTAATCGCGTCACGAAGCCCCTGACAGTTCAATGTAACTATAGATATATTATTATAATTAGTTGTAGTATTCGCCATAGTATATTTTAATTGAGACATAGGAATGTTTTTAACAATAGATATTTTTTAAAATGTAGAAAAAGGCTTAAGCCCATTCCAGGGAATCACTACGGTTCTGAGAATCAGAACCCAGTGTGGCAAAAAAACGACTAGTAACTCGGGTTTCCTCAGAGGCCTGCGAGTCCTCTGGTACATCAATAGGAGGCCGACCTGGAAGTACACCAGGAAGGTTCGGGGTAAACTGAGTTAAAGGATAATCCATTGTGTCAAAGTCCAGTGCAGTATCATCATCAACAGGAAGAGGGACGTTTTCGGGCTCAACACCCAATACCAAATCAGAATCAAAGGACAAATCCTCTGAGACACTTCCATCACTATCATGAGGGTCACTGATAGAACAATCACCCCAAGGCGATTTATCCCGGCGACGATCCTTCTTGGATCGAGGAGAAGATGATTTTTTCCGTGTTGGAGAACGACGACGTTTACCCCCAACAATGGAAGCGTAAGTAGGCGGAACCTCAACAGGTGCAGGCACCATGTCCACCGGAACAGAAGTCTGAGGATCAACATGGGATTCGACTTGTTCAGTGACAACAGAAGGCACAGTAACATCTGCGACTACAGGAAGAGGAGTAACAATTATAGGAGGATCAATTATCTCTGGAACAACTAAAGGAGGATCAGCAAGTTCCTCTTGTTCCACAACAGCATTGGCCAATTGACCAATGACACCAGCAACCTCCCTCTCTAGACAGTTTCCACGCATGTGGCCTTCCTTACCACATTGGAAACATAATTTTTTCTGGCCTTTGTAATGAACAAAGCACCAATGTCCAGCAATGCGAACTCGTGCAGGAATATCCCGATGGACCTCCATCAGAACATTCCTCACACCAGTATAAACATGAGAATACTGCTCGCTCTTGATAAGTTTAATGCGACCATATGGCTCCAGGACTCTAGAAATTTCCACCTCAGGAACACCATAGGATAAGCGAGTAATGTTTACCCATTTGAAGGAAGATATGGGCCGAAATTCGACCGGATGACCACGAACTAAAAGGCCCATCCGTTCGGCCACTGCTAATTTTCGAGCACTTTTACACGTGACTCGAAAGCGCCCCGGTGCCATCAAAACGACACCTTCGAAAACATCCGTATAGGCATCACTCTGACTACGTAGTTCGTCAATGATCTCGCGTACATTAACATCCCTTGCCTGGAGCTGGTCCGACAAGACAATGTCAGTAGTGCGATTGATGAAAGGGATCATATTAAAAAATAAAATAAAAAAAAACAACCAAAAACTGATACGGAACGGGAGATTAAGGTGATGTCAAGCACAACACCTTAAACAAAAGCAACAAAGACCCTAAAAGTCCACCCCCCGTTCAGTTGCCCCCTAATGGGCCCCTGAATTTGGGAACAACCAGAAACTCACTAATAAAGATATATACAATATAGCCACAATAAGCTTGTGGTACACACGAAAGCACACACTTACAACCACCAGGGCCAAACCAGCAGAGGCAAAGGACTGCACAAGACCAAGGCAGGCACCAAGACCACAGCGAGACCAAGGCCAAGACAAAGGCAGGACCACGACCAAAACAGGGCCAAGACCAGACCAAAGGAGGACCAAGACAGGACCAAGGCAGGGCCAAAGACAAGACCAACAAGGCACCACGATAACAAAACAGGATAAGGAACTTCTTCTCTAGGAACAGCTTTCCAACAACCAGAGATTGATCACAATCCAAAAGGGCTTCTGACTTAGCCAAAAGGCCGAGAAGCGATGCCTTCTTCGCCGTTTGCCACACATATTTCTACCGAACACTTGTGCTACGAAAACGCGGTGAGAAGGAGCTCGCCTGCGAGCGATTATGACGTCGACAAGCGCTTGATTACTCGTCGCACGAGCACGGCAAGTCCGTGGTGATAGCCCACCGCGACCCTCGCGGTCCTGTCGCGCACGCGCGTGCGGTCGTGGAGAGGGGCACGGCGGCCATGTGGCATGGAGCGCGAGACGAGAGTTGCGAACGTATCGGCTTTCGCGCTCCTTAAAGATCCAGGAATGCGTCGA